ATGAAAAATAAGCCATTATCCTTTCAAAAATCAAACTGCATTTTTGCTGAAGCGTGCGCAAGACGGATGTGCCCATGAAGAAGGCTTTCCTCAGTGCCTGAGAAAAGTAAAACACCAAATCTTCTCCCCTTTCACCAGCTGAGAGTTTGAGATCAGCCTGTGCAACATAGCGAAGATCCTATCTCCACAAAAAACAGAAAAATCATCCAGGCCTGGTGGCATGTGCTGGTAGTCCCTGCTACCTGGGACGCTGAGGCAGAAGAATTACTCCCGCCCAGGAGTTCAAGGCTGCAGTGGGCTGCGATTACGTCGCTGCACTCCAGCCTGGGCAACAAAGTGAGACCTTGTCTCCAAAAAAATAGTTTTTAATTTTAAAAAATAGTAATAATAGGAGGTGAGTGTGGGCAGAGACACAGAGGGCCATGCGGAAAGGCTGGAGTTGCGCTGACATAGCCAGGGAACAGCTGGGTCTATGCGAAGCTGGAAGGGGCAAGCCAGCGAGCATGGCCCTGCCTACCCTGATTCCAGACTTCTTCGCTGAAGAACTGCATGAGAACAAACGTCTGCTATTTGGAGCCAATCAGCTGATGCTTCCTTATGGCAGCCCTGAAAAACTAACACCCCCGTCTCGGTAACCTCGGGAGAGGAGAAGGCAGGGTACAAGCAGATACAACTTTTAGACTGATCTGGGCTGTTAATTCTCTCTTAAAGAATAAATGGGGCAGTGGATTCAGAAATTTCCACAAAAACTCTCTCTCCTTGGGTGCCTGGTGTCCAACAGGGCTGTCCCTTTCCACTGCCCACGCCGAGAAATAGACCTCGGCTCCTTGGGGAGACGCTCCTGCCCCCTAGTGGGGAGGCAGAGACTAAAATTACATAAACAAAAGATTAAAACTTGAAAGGAAGATAACTTGATAAATCTAATACATTCTTAGATAAGAATTAATTATCTCCCTCTGAGTGTAATTCTATGGTAGAATTAAAATGGCCCCATATACTGAGGGTGGCCAAACCAGTATACTGGTTCGAACCCAGCCCCAACCAGACTACAGCAAAAAAAATAGCCAGGTGTTGTGGCAGGTGCCTGTAGTCCTAGCTACTTGGAAGGCTGAGGCAAGAGTATCGCTTGAGTCCAAGAGTTTGAGGTTGCTGTGAGCTGTGATGCCCACAGCACTCTACTGAGGGCAACAAAGTGAGATTCTGTCTAAAAAAAAAAAAAAAAAAAAAAAAAGGAGGCCTCAGGTGCACCCAGGAGGCTGGTGGCTTTGTGTGATTAAGTGAGCGTGGTCCATTCAGCTCTCAGAGGAATGGATACATGCATAAGCATTAATTAAGTGTGGCATTATTAACATACCCTAATTAGATATAAGCTATATCCTTTGATATTCACAAGAAAATGTGTGCTAGGTCAAATCTTGTCTTTTTTGTATTTGGGGGTTTTTTGAGACAGAATCTTACTCTGTAGCCCTGGGTAGAGTGCCGTGGCATAATAGCTCACAGCAACCTCTAACTCCTGGGCTTAAGAGATCCTTCTGCCTCAGCTCCCAAGTAGCTGGGACTACAGGCACTCATCACAATGCCACACTAGTTTTTCTATTTTTAGCAGAGATGGGTGTCATGCCCTTGCTCAGGCTGGTCTTGAACTCCTGAGCTCAAGCTATCCACCTATGTGGGCCTCCCAGAGTACCAAGATGACAGATATGAGCCATGGCGCCCAGTCAAAAATCTTGTCTTACGCCCAACAATGTAGCAAAAAGAATATTCCTTAACCAGGAATGTCTTTTATAAACCTTGACAAGAATCATAATTTAGACCAAAAATTAACAAAATATGTTATCAAAAAGTAGCTAAAATTGAACTGTGCAGATGAAAAGAACTAAAACTCTAGGACATCTTAGAGTTGTCAGGAAGATTCTAACATATTTCAATACAACTGCCAACATCTACTAAATTTAGAAAATTATTGCAATTTCACAAGTATGGATTATTCACAAATACATTTTTTTCCTCTGATTTAATGAGCCCTGCTGGGTAAAGCTGTCATCTCTAACTCAGGTTAATTTGAGGAAACCTGCTTTTTCCAGATGGCATCAAAAAGAGCAGATAGTTAATATGAGACACTGAAGTCAAAGTCACCTAGTGTTTATCTGCATGTGGAGTGCAAGAGCTGTTAGCCTCTGAGCCCACTTTCACCTGTTTCTTAAACCAGTACCCCACTGTGGAATTTCCTGCACCATCCTAAACTGTCCAATTTCTCTGACGGCAGACCACCAGTGTTACTCTGAAAGTCTGCAACAGAGTCTGCTGCCTAGCAAGCTGAACCATCTTCCCCCACTGTAGAGTAGCAGAAAATAACAGCATGTCCCATATCTTTCCTGCATGAAACATGTGGCTAATTTAGTGCCCCAAAGTTTACTTGTGCTGCAGATTAAAGAAACTCTGCACTACAGATCTCTGGGCATTGTGCACCTCCAGCCAGGCCCTGTCCACCTGCTAAAATGCTGATTAATTAAGTGACCATCGGTTGTCTTTCTAGTCTTATTTATTAACATGCAGTTTGCCCCCAAGTTTCTTTCTCATGCTCAAAGTCAATGTCTTAGAAAGTACCATATCATCTAACTCCAGTGAGATTAGCCTATATCACAAAATCCCAAAACCAGAGATGCTGGCGTGGATGTGGAGAAAAGGGAACACCCTACACTCCTGGTGGGAATGTAAACTAATACATTCCTTTTGGAAAGACATCTGGAGAACACTTAGAGAACTAAACATAGACCTGCCGTTTGACCCTGTAATTCCTTTATTAGGTATATTCCCAGATGACCAAAAATCGCATTACAACAAAGACATTTGTATCAGAATGTTTACTGCAGCCCAATTCATAATTGCCAGGTCATGGAAGAAGCCCAAGTACCCATCGATCCACAAATGGATCAACAAACTGTGGTATATGTACACCATAGAATACTATGCAGCCATAAAGATGGAAACTTTACGTCCTTCATGTTCACATGGATGGAGCTGGAAAATGTTCTTCTTAGCAAAGTATCACAAGAATGGAAGAAAAAGTATCCAATGTACACACCCCTATTATGAAACTAATTTATACCTTTTATATGAAAGCTATAACCTAATAACAGCCTAAGAATACGGGGAGAGGAGAGGGAGAGGGGAAGGGGGAGTGGGTGGAGAGAGGGGGATTGGAGGGATCACTTCTGTGGTTTATCTTACAAGGGTACAAGTGAATCTTTCTAAGAGTAGAATGTGAATGTTTTAAAATAATAACTAAGAAAATGAAGGCTATGTTAACCAGTTTGATGGAAGTGTTTCGGATTGTGTGTGAAAACCCCACACTGTACCCCAGAAGTGCATTAATGTACATAGTTACCATTCAATAAAAAAATAAATAATTAAAAAAAAAGAAAGTACCACTTAACATGGATTTCTCATAGTCTTAGTAAATAAAGAGACAGCCTATCTCCTAATAGAGGAACATTCTAACCCAGAGATGTTACTAGAGGAGAATATCCCAGCATTAACAACCAGAACAATGTTACTAAAATATAATCCACATTAAAACTTTCATACAGGCCTCTGCCTCTTTGCCTACTTGTCCTGGCAATGGAGGCAGAATGGCTGTCTATGATGAAAATATCCTGCTTGATAAACATTCTTACTCTGTAACCCTACCTTTTTCTTCTTTAATATACTTTGTTTCATGCTCATCTTAAAAAAATAATAATAAAATGAATAAATAAATCTTTCATACAAGAATCTGGTGGAGAAACTCAACTTCTGTATTTAAACCTAGTATTCTCAATGCACCCTGAATATCAATTTCAGATCTGACCTCATGCCAGCTTGTCAATCACTCAGACACCGGGGTTTTTAAAAAGCTCTCCAAGGTATGCTGGGTGTGGTGGCTCACACCTGCAATCCCAGCACTCTGAGAGGTTGAGGCGGGTGGATTTCCCGAGCTCACAGGTTTGAAACCATCCTGAGCAAGAGCAACACCTCATCTCTAAAAATAACCAGGTACTGTAGCAGGCGGCTGTAGTCCCAGCTACTTGAGAGGCTGAGGCAAGAGAATTGCTTGAGCCCAAGAGTTTGAGGTTCCTGTGAGCTGTGATGCCACAGCACTCTACTGAGGGTGACAAAATGAAACTCTGTCTCAGAAACAAAGCTCTCCAAGGTAACTGTTTTATTTTTTTTTCTCCAAGATAATTCTAATGTTAAACTGTAGTTGAGGACCACTGATGTATACCGGGAGTCAGCAACCATGTTCTATAAAGGACCATACCACAGAACCAGGCATGGTGACTCACACCTGTAATCCTAGCACTCTGAGAAGCAAGAGCTCCTTGAACTCAGGAGTTTGAGACCAGCCTGAGAAAGAATGAGACCCTGTCTCTACTAAAAATAGGAAAATTAGCCAGACTTTGTGGTGGGTGCCTGTAGTTCCAGCTACTCAGGAGGCTGACGAAAGAGGATCACTTGAGCCCAAGAGCTTGAGGTTGCTGTGAGCTGTGATGACCCCACGGCGACAGAGTGGGATTCTGTCACAAAAAAAGGACCATACCATAAATGTTTTAGGCCTCACAGGCCATTTTGTCCCTGTCACGCCTCTCAGTTCTGCTGCTATGGCACAAAAGTGGCCATGTACAATATGTAAATGAATGAGTGTGGCACTGTTCCAATACAGCTTTATTTATGAACACTGAAATCTGGATTTATTGCAACTTTCACATGTCACAAAATATTGTTCTTCTTTTGATTGTTTCCAATCATTTAAAAATATAAAAACTCAAAAGAATTTTTAAAAAATTTTAATGTAATATAAAAACTATTCTTGGCTCACAGATTATATAACTCATGTGGCAGGCCAGATCTGCCTGGGCCATGTTTACTGACTGCAGACCTGCACGGCAGATTCAACACACTTCTACTTAATCTTTTCTCAAAAACATTTGTAGAAAAGATCCCTCTCACAGCAAGGGTACCTTCAGATTCAAGCTGGTCCAGGCCATAAGAGGTGGCTGTGTTGACATGGCTAATGGATGGCCAGACAGTTCCCTTCTCAGAGGACACCTCAGAAGCGGACAGCATGGGGGAAAGGCCATGTGTCTCCACCATCATTCCTGGGGGCGTCACCGGAGAACCCAGAACTGATGTCAGCTCCTCACCTGGCCCTGTGACTGTGTCCATGAGGTCTGTCAAACACAAGAGACAGGACTGATCGTTATGGGAAACATGAACTTGTGCTTTCACCAGAAATGACTAATGAAACGAAACCTCCCACACAGCAGCCGGGCACTGGGGCAGCTTTCCTTCCCCACGTCGTAGGAAGCCAGCGACCCAGAACAAACACTTTATCTTCCAGGAAATAAATATACTGTCTCAAATCAGAACTTGGTTTTTAAATTTTAACCTCCCACTTATCCTATTGACAATATTATGGATGTAGCAGAATTTTATATGATGTATTACTAAAAACAAAAGATGTAACCAAACAATGTATTATATTAAAATAGATGCTGAAGACTACTTTGAAAAGACTGACTGTCTTTCTTAAAATGAAGTCGTAGAGTAAGAACCGAGCTCTGCATCTGGAAGGTACTGGACTTCTAAGCAGCCAAACACAGGCCCCAGTGTTACCAAGTGTGCAGATTGGAAATTTTCACTGTCCCTAAGAGATTAGACCATTTATATAGAAAGCATTTCGGAGACATTCTTTCAAATCTGTATAATAACCTATAAGATAGGTAAGAATACCTTTAGAGAGGAACAGAGACTGACAAAAGTTAAGAAACGAGCTTGAAAGAAGGGAACACTTCTACACTGCTGGCAGGATTGCAAACTAATACAGCCTCCTTGGAAAGAAATCCAGAGAATCCTCAAAGAACTCGAAATAGACCTTCTATTTAATCCCACAATCCCATTGCCAGGTATCTACCCAGAAAAAAAAATCGTTTTATCACAAGAGCATGTGTACTAGATTGTTTATTATAGTTCAATTTATAATTGCCAACATGGAAACAACCCAAGTGCCCATCAACCCAAGAATGAATGAACAAACCGTGGTATATGTACTCTGTGGAATACTACACAGCCATAAAAAGATGGAGACTTTACATCTTTTCTATTAACCTGGATAGAGTTAGAAAACATTCTCTTTAGTAAAGCAGAACAAGAAAGGAACAGCAAGTACCCAATGATTCGATACTAACATGAAGCCAATAGATGAACTAATATAGGCCCACACAAGAGGAAAAACTCAGTTCAATTCAAGTTGGGGGAAGGGGGAAAGAGGGAAGGGGAGAGAGGAGGTGGCAAGGGGATTGCTGTGCTCCCACTTAATGGGCACAATGTAGGGGTATATGGCACACCCCCTGGGTGAAGGGCACAGCTACAATAGGGACCTCACCTAACAAACGCAGACACTGTGACCTAATTCTTTGTACCCTCATATTATTCTGAAATAAAAAAAGAAAAAAGAAGAAACTTGCTTGAGGTCACAGTACTACTGAAGGACAAAGTTGGGACTCAGATCCAAGTGCTTGCTGTCACCACCCCACCCTGCCAGCTCCCAGCAGCAGTTATCAAACAAGGCAAATGTTCTCAGGAGGCCCGGACCTGTACATGAGCCACCAGGACGTTTAATCTGAGGACTAACCCTGCATCCTTTGGGGGCTACACGCCACCTCCCCTGATGACAGCGAGCTCACCTTCCTTCCAGGTCGGGTGTGTGCGTGCACCGACGGCAGTGACAACTGCCTCACTCATTCTGCTCCTTGTCAACTTACTGAAGAGACCTACCCCCAAAACAATCAGTCCAACACCCTCCTTTACAGACCTTCCAGAGCAGGAGCAGCTTCCACAGACAAAGGGACAGCTGTAGTTGAAACCACAGCGGCCAGAGGCTCCCATTTTCTTGACAGCTGAGTAACACCGGGTTCCCCGGACACAGGAGTGGGCAGCTCTTCTCCTCCCTCTGTCCCGCCACCGTCTCCAGTAACCTCAAGGAGAACGACTTGCTCTTGTGTCACCAAGGACAAAGTGGCTTCTGGTTCTTGAATAGCTGTTGTCATCTCTTGTGTGACGATGTCTTAAAAAGGGGGAAACATTTTAAAATAAAACAAATGTCTATACTTGCAAAATCACTGTACAATTGATAAATTAAGGGGAGAAAGGCAGATAGCATTTAGGCAATTGGGGAAGCAAAGGGAGAAGGTAGAAATAAAATAAAAGTAAGTAAATGTTTTCCCCACTGCTGCTTTCAGGAGCTGCAAACCAATCTAAGACAGAGATAAAGAAGTTTATATAAACAAAGTAGGAAGATGAACAGCTGAGCTGCCTTCCAAACCCTAAGAAACAAATTATACAGAACTAAGTTACATTTAACAATTTGCAGAAACATTTGTATAAATATATGCATTTCTGAAGGGTCAAGGAAGTTAGTATTTTAAAATAAAGGAATAAAAATTCCAGTAACTTGCTGGGCTTATACCTGTAATCCTAGCACTCTGGGAGGCCAAGGCAGGTGGACTCCTTGAGCTTAGATGTTCAAGACCAGCCTAAGCAAAAGCAAGACCCATCTGTACTAAAAAATAGAAAAACTGAGGCAAGAGGTTCCCTTGAGCCCAAATTGGAGGTTGCTGTGAGCTATGATGCCACAGCACTCTATCCAGAGCAACCACTTGAGTCTCAAAAAAGAAAAGAAAAAAAAATTCTAATAACTAATGTTTACCAAGTTTCTGTTGTGTGTCATGCCTCATTTTATCCTCCTGTGTGTACTGAGGGGAGGCAAGTCCTAGTATCATTCCATGGAAACCGTGTGTCACACACAGTGGTCAGGATGCGCTGACTACCGCCAAATGTAGGGCCAAATTCTGACTGAGTCCCTTATTAGCTGTGTGATCTTAGACAAATTACTTCATATCTCTGGGCCCTGAGATATAAAATGGGGGTAATAACAGTTTCTATCTCATAGTCTTGTTACAAAAATTAAATTAGATAACCCCTGTAGGCATCTGGTCCTTGGTAACTAAGTGTTCAGTAGATATCTGCTATCACTGCTCCATTTCACAGAACTTGGGTTTACAGAAGCTAAGGAACCTTAACCACTGTACTAACATGCCCAAGAACCATCTGGAGTGGCCTCCATAGAAGATTGCATTTGCTTTTCGATCAGAAAAGAAAATGAAATAGACCTACAGGGCAGGACATGTCTGTCACATGTCCACTTTAACAACCTTATACAATATGCTACTAAAGACTTTTTTTTTTTTGAGACAGAGCCTCAAGCTGTCCCCCTGGGTAGAGTTCTATGGCATCACAGCTCACAGCAACCCCCAACTCCTGGGCTCAAGCGATTCTCCTGCCTCTGCCTCCCACGTAGCTGGGACTACAGGTGCCTGCCACAACAGCCGGCTATTTTTTTTGGTTGCAGCCATCACTATTGTTCAGCGGGCCCGGGCTGGAGTCAAACCCACCAGCTCAGGTGTATGTGGCTGGCACCTTAGCCACTTGAGCCACAGGCACCGAGCCTAAAGACTATTTCTAAGTCAAGATGTGCCCTCTTCTTATGAAGGAAGAAATGTCAGATACTGTACTGAGCTATACAAAAATCTTAATTTCTAGAAGATCTTATTACCTCTCTTTTCTTAAAAACTAGTTATAGTTACAAAGAGTTTTAGCAAGGCCAGCAAGCAGTACAATAAAAAATAACATTCTAGGGATAGCTAAAAAAAAAAGTTCTCAAAGTTTGCATTAATGACATCACAGTACATCTTCTTATGCAAAAACAAAAATAAAAAATATTTTCCTTGAAAACTATTTGCTTTAAAATAGTATATTTTGTTTATTTTTCAATATAAACAGTTCCTTTTCTTGGTATCCATCCAATTAAGACTATTTTTCTTCTGAACTGAAGAGATTTTTACCTTTGATGGATTGAAATATATATACGTATGTATGTATATATATATTCCAAAGGTGAGCGGCTGTCTAATTTTGAAGATATTACATGGTTATAGGACAAACAACATGAGTTAAAGTAAGGTTCTAGCATGAGCTTCATTTTTGTACCTTATATCATCAAGTTTTTCTTTCCCCAACAAGACTGCAAATCTCTTGAGAGCCAGGGCTCCCTGCCCTGTGTACAGATATCTCCAGCACATAGGACAATGCTCTATTTGCCATAAGAAGAGAATAATATATAGCTGCATCATGTTATGCAGTATATAATCCCTACATTGCTCTCATTTTTGAAAGCATAATGAATACTTCTGAGAATAAATATGTAAAAATAAAAACACAATCTATATTCATGATTTTATGAAATAGCAAGAAACTTCAAAATGTGTAATACCCTGAACAAGTGACTTCTGTTACAGAAAGAAGAGAAACAGAAGTAGTAATGGGAATGTTTTAAATAACCTCAAAAATTGCCCAGCATCTCTCACTCTTTCTACTCCCGGTAGAAAAAAAGTAATAGATTATTTTTAAAGACTGATCTTCTGTTGAACCACCTGAAGAACTAGCTGACTCAGGACTGACTATAACTTCATAGTATTCATCTCTTAGTAATGTCCAGAAACACCAAGAAGTCATTGCATATTCTGAAGAAGATAATGTCATAGTGATCCCTAGGCCCTAAAATGATGGTCATCTGAGATGTTTACTTTAGAAAAATATTTATAATCCCCAAAAAAATGATTAGTAAAAGTTTCAGGCTATTCTCTAACTTCTACTTATAAATGCAAGCTTTCACATTCTTTTTAATCCCACAGATCTCTCTCAAAGAGAGCTCATTTCAAAGTTGTTTGATGAATTTGGACAAGGTCGGCATCAAATTGGATAATTCCAGTCTGAATGGTTCTCTACAGGGTCCAGCAAAAGTGATGCCCTTTCGTGCTTGTGTGTGATGTTGTTATGTCACAGAATCACATGCTTATGACTTTGTAATAAAAGACTGACATAAATTACCAGCTCACAAAAAGGTTGTTGTTTTTGCCATTATCTGTGCATGTAATTCTGTAACAATATCACACTCAAGGACAAAAAAGGTCACTTCTGCTGGACCCTATATTTTCATTTACTAATCCCCCATGTGCCAAGGATTATGGTATGAGCTAGGAATAAAAAGATGTCACCTATTAAAAGACTGGACTTTAGTGTTGCGATTATAAAGAGTGAGCATATTCAATAATCAAAACAATTTTTAAAATTACAAAATCATTTTACTTTTTAGGCTCACCCAAGTCTAGGACATAAGCATCATGGACTCAGTCATGGGTAAGTAACTGGGGCCTAGGACTCACTGCTCCAGAAAGACAGATCCTGCAAAGATCTGACGTAAGGGGTGGTGCCTGTGGCTCAAAGGAGTAGGGGGCCGGCCCCATATACTGGAGGTGATGGGTTAAAACCTGGCCCTGGCCAAAAACAAATAAACAAACAAAAAGATCTGACGTAAACTTCATGCTCAGTCAAATCTAATATTCTCACAGCCACGCGGACCCCCAGTTCCACATCAAAACCAGTTTATAAAACATTTGCTGGAAGCATTTTATGAAAACTTAGAGCATATTAGATCTCTGTCTTTACAAAATGAAGTAGACATGTAAAAGTCAGTCTTCCTCTTACCATTCATTGATGATCTCTTATTTTAATTTGATCTCAATAACACTTTTTTTCAGAGTAACAAAGAGAGATTTTATTTAGGAAGAACAAAGAGAAAGTTTAGAGTGCTTCCCAAGAGAGGTGAAAGAGGGTCCCAGAGGAAAGAGACAAGCAAAAGTCTGCAGGGTATAAAATATTCTCTCCACTTGAAATTGGCTGTGATCAATCTTAATAACATTTTCTAAAACATATTACTGATTTGATATTTTCCACTAATTGGCCTACTTGGCTGAATTAACATAGTGTACATGTTCCAAAACAATTTGAAATGAGCATTCACACATTATACAGAGCTGTTCCTTCCCACTGTTGTTATCTAACCAACTCAACATAATAAAAGAATAACATTTCCCATCAGCAACAAATACAAGGCTTGCCAGCTCATAATACTCACAGACTTAAGGGCCAAGAGAAAGTAGGAAAAAAATGCAGCACAAGCCAGCCACAAGTTATCTTTCCCCCATTGTCTCTAGCCGCTTTCTTTCGGAGAAATCAGAAGTCAGAGAATTAATGTAGTTAATACTATGAAATAAATATAGTATTCACCTAAAGCTCTTTCGTAAGAAATGTAAAGGATGTGACTATGTTTCACAACAATGTGAATACAAGTATCCTACACTGTTTATTTCACCATTTAAACCTGGAGGTAATCTTCTGCCATTTTTATATTAATATATTTTCATAATAAAACATTGGACAAATATTAGTCTATATTAGAGTGTCTCAGTCTCAATGCTATTAGCACACCGGCTCAGGTCACTCTTTTTTGTGGGGGCTGTCATATGTCCTCTAAGCGACATCCCTCCCCTCTGCCCACACGGTGCCAGGAGCACCTCTTGGTCGTTAACAACTGAAAGTGTCTCCTGTCCCCTGAGGGAGGGGAGAGTCGAACCATCCCCTGTTGAAGACTACTGGTCTATATGCAGGGTGTATATTTGGGTGTAATTTTTATTAAAATACATGATTTACATGTACACTTTGACCTTTCACTAAATGTTTGGGTTCTTTTTATTAAATCATAGCTGTGTACATTAATGCAATCATGGAGTACAGTGTGGTGTTTTCATATACAATTTGAAATATTTTCATCAAACTGATTAACATAACCTTCATCATTAAATGTTAACCTATTTCTGAATTGCCATTTAAAAAAGAAACCACAAAACCAAATCAAAAATTCCAAATTAAACAAAGCTTTTCTTTCTTTTATTTTCTTTCATTTACCTTTTGATGTATTTCCCAAAAGTTGATATGCCTCGGACTCATACTCTGAGATGGAAACAGTGGTCTCCAAGGAAGACACAGCATCCTGTTCCTTGATGGATTCTGTGGAGTCTCCCGTACTTTGGAACAGGTCCACAACAGAAACTGTTGTGTCTTCCATCAGGCTTGTGGGGGGAAAGGAACTCTGATGGGTGAAGGCAGGAGACAGCTCATCCCCTTGTGCTGTTACCAGGACTGTCCGCACGTGTGTTTCCCCTTCCGCCAGCCCCAGAGCCACGTGTGCGGCCTCTGTCAAAGGCCAGCCCCCTTCCGTCCCCTCACGGCTTGCCTGTGCTGTCGGAGATATTTCTACTCTCACCTGAGCCCCTGCACTGTCTCCAAGCTTCGGGGTCTTTATTTGGCCTACACTCTCTAATTTGGTGTCATCCCAGTCATCACTGAACACAGAAGCAGCTGGGACAGCTGTGCTGACACTCAGTGTGACTTCTGGGGCTCCCAGCAGACTATCAGTTTCTGGCTGGACGCTCAGCGTATGCTCAGAAGCCATGAATGATTGCTTGGTGGAAGTCACCTGGGTATCATCAGCCGTCATCTGCACAGGCTTCTTATCAGGTGTGAGGCTCTCAGGCTCAGGGCCTACTGTGGACCCAGTACCAGGAAAAGATGTTTTCCTGTGGTCTGGGGATGTTTCAGATTCCTCAGGCCTTGCCCAGGTGGTCAGCATTTCTTTAGCATTCACATGGGATGAAGAGGAGTGTCCCAGACTAACTCCTTCATGACTGTCAGTTGCAAATAACTGGTCATCCACATCACTCAGTGTTGCTTCTGTGGCCTCTTCAGCAGTGGGCTGCATGCTGGTCCCCCTGATGGGCTCCTCCTTCACACCAATATTCAGAGAAGTGGTTGCAGTGACAGCAGTGGTTAACACAGCCTTGAAAGGAGACATTCTCTCTGGCTGACTGGAACCAAACACGTCTTCACCTGCTGGGCCTGCTGGCACAGTAGCAGCATAAACATCAGGGCTATCAGGCTGCAGGAGCCTGGCTCCTCTAGGAGGGGTTTCTTTGTTAATCAAGAATACTTGATTTGACGGCAGGGCTGATGGCCCTGCTGACGTCAGTGGATCCTCAGAGACCACCATCTGAGGAGCCTGCTTTGAGGTAAGAGAGCTGTTCTCTAGGCCATCTGTGCTCATCTTCTCAAACTGCCCTTCTTCTGCAGGAACATATGCGATCTCACTCCTTTCTGTTTTGGGAAAGGCCAGGCATCGTGTGGCACAGCTGAGAAGCAGGAGGCTACAGAAAGCCAGGCCAGTGTGCAGTGTGACTGGTCTGCTCATAGTGGAGGAGAAATGTCACATAAATCGGCAGGGTTGACAATTCCAGTAATCGAGTCCTGCAGAAAAATAAAGCATGCCACACTGTCAGAGAAATGTATTTTGTGAGTAATTTCCTTTAAAATTAAACCAAAAGTAAAATAATCTCCTCTCTCCTTGACTCCACACACAGAGATAGGAGAAGGCTGCTCTATTTCTTTGTACCTCTGAGACATGGATAACCCAGTTCATTTTTCCCTGCTGAATTTTGCTGATTTAACTTTCAAGCTCCCAGAAATAGGTACACGAAGTTCAAGTATCAGGTTCATTGTTTCTTAAATACCTACTAGAAATAAACTACCCTTGAAGTCACATTTTCAAAAAAAATAATAATTTTCTCCTAATTTCTCTATTAATCACACAGTCAGATGACTACAGAAATAGCAACATGTACAAGATATAAAAAGGAAATCTTACACATTCATTCAGTCAAACAATTTTTAAGTGTTGCCATGGTCTACATGTTTGCATCTCCCAAAATGTATACATTGAAACCTAATCACTAATGTGATAGTAATACACAGTGGGGCCTTTGGGAAGTGATTCCATGGGAATGAGATTAGTCCCCTTACAAAAGAGACCCCAGAGAGCTCTTCATCCTTTCCACCATGTGAGGAAGCAAAAAGGTGCCCTCTGCTAACCAGAACACCAAATCTGCTGGTGATCTTGGACTTTGCAGCCCGGAGAACTGTGAGAAATAAATTTCTATTGTTCAAAGCTGCCCCATTTATGGCATTTTGTTACAGCAACCCAAGGGGACTGAAACACGTATTTTTTTTTTTTTCCAATGAAAGTGTACTGTGTTTTATTTTATTGAAGAGGAAAAATTCTGGCTCAGCGCCTGTGGCTCAAGTGGCTAAGGCACCAGCCACATACACCTAAGGTGGTGGGTTCGAATCCCCAGCCCGGACCCGCCAAAACAACAATGACGGCTGCAACCAAAAATAGCCGGGCGTTGTGGCAGGCGCCTGTCATCCCAGCTACTTGTGAGGCTGAGACAGGAGACTCGCTTGAGCCCAGGAGTTGGAGGTTGCTGTGAGCTGTACACGGCACTCTACCCAGGGGTACAGCTTGAGGCTCTGTCTCAAAAAAAAAAGAGGAAAAATTCTTTGCTCCAATGTGTTTTCACAAATTTCTGATCATTGTGTTTATCTATTCAAATTTTCAAATAAACAAGGCTTTTGCTAAGGTTGTTATCAACAGAGTATGAAAAAATGGGCACTACTTTAATGGCTAGTTGCTTTTCAACACTATTTGAGAAATAAATGTGATTTAACAATAATATTATGCTGTAACATTCGATGTTCTAATTGAGTAAAAATAACGGACATCCTTGTTTTCATAAAGGGCTCTATTAAAGGTTTAAACTACATTCTTTCTGAAATGTATATTTACTAATTGATTCCAGTCAAGTCAAAGAAATGTATCATTTTATAAAGTAAGTGCTTTCCCTTTCTTCTCATACAATGCTGGTAATCTAACAGTGCTGCAAGAGAATGCTCTCTCTCTAAAGAACACTCCATGCATTTGGCTTCTAGTATACAGCTAAAGCTTATGATGTTTGATTAATTTTTAGCATTCATATAAGGTATCTGTAAAATTATACGAAAAAAAAGCACTCTAACTTCTGGACAGCACCTGAGGCTCAAGGAGTAGGGCGCCAGCCCCATATGCCAGAGGTGGTAGATTCAAACTCAGCCCTGACCAAAAAAAAAAAAAAAAAAGCTCTCTAATTTTCCAGTGTAATTGGCTTTTCTTTCTTTCTTTCTTCTTTTAAAATTAAATCATAGCTGTGTACATTAATGCATCATGGGGTACAATGTGCTGGTTTTATATACAATTTGAAATGTTTTCATCAAACTGGTTAACATAGCCTTCACGGCATTTCCTTAGTTATTATGTTAAGACATTTATATTCTACACCTAGTAAATTTCACATGTACCCTTGTAAGATGCACTGTAGGTGTGGTCCCACCAATTACCCTCCCTCCACCCATCCTCCCCTTCTCCTCCCCCCCTTCCTCTTTAAAACACGTATATTTTAAAACTTATGTTCTATCATTGTTAAATACCACCAGTTAACTATCCAGTTTAAAGAAGTATATAAATGTATATATATAGAGAGAAAGACAGACAGAGTCTCACTGTGTCCCCAAGGCTACAGTGTCACAGCTCACAGCAACCTCAAACTTTCGGGCTCAAGGGATCCTTCTGCCTCATCCTCCCCATTAGCTGGGACTATAGTCGCCCACCACAGCACCTGGCTAATTTTCCTATTTTTAGTAGAGATGGTCTCACTCTTGCTCAGGTTGCTCTTAAACTGGTAAGCTCAAGCAATCCACCAGCCTTGGCCTCCCAGAGTGCTAGGATTACAAGTGTGAGCCACCGTGCCTGGCATCATTTTCAATTAAAATATGTCTTTTAAATGTTTAAATTATTTCTTATACTCTGTAATAACTATAGAAAAAATCATAGGCAACATCTTCATGTTTCAAAATTTAAGGATCAAAAAAAGTATGAGTTAGGCAATGTAAATAAATGATTTTAGAAAAATACAACTGGTTTTAAAATAAGCAATCTTTACTGAATATCAACTACTGTAAGATTTAGAGATGTATTGTATTCTTTAAAATAAACTACTCATGCTCTCATTACAACTAAAGCTGTATTAAAATCTCTAGATTTCCCCCAAATCTAAAAGTTTTAGTTCTTTTTAACGTTTTAGTCCTATTTTTCTGAGTAGGGCCTTTCCTTTCCCCTCATTGGCAATTTCTCAGATGCTTCAGGTTTTCTGGAAAATTAAACTAGAAATCGGCCTTCTAAAATAAAAACCTTGCCTCTATAAAAGTTATACTTTTTCTTTCTTTCTCGTCTAATCATCCAACTATCTACCTTAAGCACATGAGGGGCATGTGTGAAATACAGAAATTCACATTTTTATAGGACATTCTCACCTTAGGGATTTCACAGCTTCCACATATTATCCATTTATCCTTATAGGTCCTTTTAAGAAAGAAAAAAGGTCAAGTCCTCAGAGCATGATCCAGATGGCCAAAGACAAACAGAGCACTGAATTTTCCTTTGAAAGAGGAATGTGTGGATTCTGAGCCGAGTCCTCCTGCCAACTCACAGACACGTGACTGTGCCATCTCAGTCAAGCCTTCAGAAACCCACAGCCCCAGATGACATCTTGACTGCACCTTCTTGAGAGACCTTGAGCCAGAACAACCCAGACAAGCTACTCTCAAATTCCTGATGCACAGAAATGGTATAAAATAACAAACATTAATTGTTGTTTTAAGTCATTGAGTTTTAGCATAATTTGGTATGCAAAAAGCTTGCTCTGAGGAAAAATACAGGAATGGAATGGTGTGAGAAGGTGTCATGACGCTGTGGGCAGAAAAGGAATAGCAGCATGTCAGGGATAATAACTTAGCAGTAAGAGAGAACTGAAGCCACAGGTGACTTCAATAAGCCCCCCCAGAGAATCCTCAGACACAGTGAGGGGCTGCTAAGTTTCTCCATGTGTAGGATGGGGGCTTAAAACCATTTTATTGAAATATTAAGTACATATATGTAGGTAGCATTGCTTTTTTTAAAGGGGAATATGGGAAAGATACTTGATAAAGAGAGAACAGCATGTACCAAGGCATGTCGACACCTTGGACATCAGTTATCACTCTGCTGTAGGTGAGCCCGCAGGCATCCAGGGCGTAGCCCTGTAACAGGTCGCTGAATTTGGCCTGCTGCCTCTGTGTGCCTTCCTGAAAACAAAAACATATATGCAGCCAAGGTGCTCACAATCAGTGAAACCACACCTCTGAGTTTCTATAGACAAGCTGGGCTTTAAACCCTAACTACATAGTCAGAGATATAAAAGCTGTAGACGTCCCTGGCTCATTTCTGATCTTTTCAGATAGCTGCCCCTTCCTAAACAAATACTAATCTCACTCAGCATCCCAGAAGATAGAAAGTGTGGCCTAAAAGCTCATCTACATGATCCCAAATTGCTGGATTAAAACCCTGAAAATCCCAGGCCCTGATCAATGGCAACAGAGATTGGAGAGATGTGGATTTGGACCATAAAGTGATTCCTGAGAGTTAGATGAGAGAAGAGAGGTCAGCACTCCGCTTGACAAGGGTGGAAGAGGCCCCCCACCTGACAGCATGCGTGTGGCCACCACCTTTGTGCCATGTAACCATCTTTTGTTTTTTTAATTCCAGCTGGGGATGAGACGAGGGATGGGGGAGAGAAGAGGAGGGAGGGAGACTGCTGTGCTGACATTGTAAGCTCATCATTTATATCCTCATATTAATCAGAAATCTAAAACAAACATTCCTGAATTCTAGCTTTATTTGGCATTTTTTCTTTCTTTTTTCTTTGTACAGACTGTTACCCAACTGGTCTTGACTCCTAACCTCAAGCAATCCTCCTGCCTCAGCCTCTCTAAGTGTTAGTACAACCAACACGCCTGCCCGAATCATGGCTTTATTGTAATTAGAACTTACTATGTGATACGCGTCAAGGGGCGTCGGTTTCTCCTTTGGCAAACTGAGGAGTTAAAATAAGTTTTTGAAATCCCTTCTACCTCTAAGATTTTATTTTCATATCTCATCTATATGACCTAAAATAAAAATACAGATATTTACATCTTTTCATAGTTCTGCCACCAAGTAGAAAGGCACCTGGGTGGTGGGACAGGCGTTTCACATTGTGTTTGTGTGTTTGGAGTCCTGTGGATTGAGAGGAAAATTTCATGAACAAATCAGATAGGAGAGGGAGGGGGCAAAGAACAAGATGGCCCCAATTGCGTTTCCAAACATAATTTTCCTTTAAGGCTTTTCTTTTTCATCTGTATCTTGAGTTTTAGAATTTGTGTGTCAAGGGAATTCTGCCATTGCCCTGAAAGACTTTCTGTCTGTGGTTAAGTGCCGGCCACCTGCTTTCTAAATCAAATTACAACAGAAAACGTGGGGGT